AAACCCATCTCTCTGTGCCATGACTCCTGGTACAAGTGTTACACAAACTGATAATATATAATATTAACCAGAGATACTGTGATGCTGAAAATGTGAATTCAGTTGGTTGTTTTCCCCACAGGTGCTGACATTGTGTCCTCAGTGAGATTGGTGTCTGTACAGAGAGGAGGATCTGTCACCATCTCATGTTCCTATCAAAGCAGATATGAATCTCATGTGAAATACTGGTGCAGAGGAAGTGACTGGAATTCATGTCGTACAATAGTTCGCACTGACTTCCCACAGAAGAAGGATGAAGTGTCAATCAGTGATGATTCTGACCAGCAAGTCTTCACTGTGATTATGAACAACCTGAAAACTGGGGGCTCAGATACCTACTGGTGTGGTGTGGAAATATCAGGTCCAGATGTTGGACAAAAAGTTTCCCTGTCAATCACTGATGGTAAGATGTCTATACTGCAGACTGTAGCCAATGGGATGCACAGTATGTAAAATGTCATTCTGATTCTTCTGATTCTTTATTATTATTTGTCACATGCATAGTTATACAGGTACAACATGCAGTGAAATGTATCCTGATCAACCCGACCATACATATACACATACATCACATTATAGGGGGTAGACAGGGGATATAGGAAGAACAGAGAAAAAACAGAATTACATGAGGAGAGAGAAGACTGCTCCAGTAGGGAGTACATTGTAGGAACCAAAAAAAACACCTCAGCAACATAGGCACATAGTCACCTTACAACATAAAAAGTCGTGACTTGCAACAGGGGAGGGAAATGGGGAGGTGGAGGTAGTCCAGCATAGACAAACAGCCATCCGGTCCTGCAGCCATAGAGGCGCTGGTCACAGACCCACCTATTCACGCTGAGGGTATAAAGCGGCAAAGGCGTGGGATGGGGAGAGGGTGCGAGTGAGTGCATATCTGTACGTATGTATATGTGTGTGTGTATCCAGTAGAGCTGGATGTCTCGAGACCGGTCTCGAGACCATTTTTACGCTGTCTTGGTCTTTTCACGGTCTCGACGGTCTATTGACTTGGTCTTGTCTTGGTCTCAGATCCCTCTGTCTTGGTCTTGCTGTCTCAGATCGACATAGTGGTCGGGAGATTTGGAGCGAAAAGTACCCATGACACACAACGTAACGTTCGATAATGCAACATTATTATTATTTCACCTTTGGCGCCTTCAAATGCAGCCAATCAATTACATACAGACATTGGCGCTCATCCAATAAAAATACGTGTTATACGTGCAAAATAAGTGTAGCGCTATAGTTAAACCTATAGTTAAATGTAGGGCTGCACTAGGGCTGGACAATAATTCGATATCAATATATATCGCGATAGAATTTTTTTCGATAACGGTGATACGATTTTTAAACACATTTCCGATATTTCGATATACATTTGAATATTATATATATTCATCGGCTTTTAAAAATGTATCACAAGTGCTAAACAGCGCGTATTCAAATCGCATTCCCATGGTAATTTGCTGAACAACGCAGCTATGAAACGTGATCCAGGTAAAACTTTTTTAGACAGCATAAATAATATTGAAGCATTTGTTTTCAAGCAGACTGTTAAAGGCAAAAGCAACAAAGCATTTTAGACTTTGTAAAGAAACCATAGTAACCACGTGTATGATACTTTTCAGAGCTGTGTCAGAGCGAAATGACTCGTGAATTTAATTTTGTTACACCCCGCAGGTTTTTTGTGATTTTGTGAGCGATCTTTGTGTTTTCAATCAATGTTGGAGAATATAATTAAAGGTTTGTATCGAGAAACGACGGTGGTTTTTATTGTATACTGGTAAATCTCT